AAGATGGGCCAAATGATGAGCACTGGAAGAAGGAGACTTCTTCAATTATTTTTTGATGTTTCTGTGTGACTCCACTTGTAAAACCACCCTGAAGCCCGTGCCGTCCCGTGCCCAAACCCTCCTTATCCCTCGGTATCCGCCCAAACCATCCAAACGCTCGAGACGCTTGACGGCACGAAGTCCGCGATTCCGGGAGCAACCTGGCCACCCCTGAGAGTGCAGTCATGACTCATTCTACCCCTGGTAATGGGTGGTTGAATTCGCTACCAGGTCCAGCACCACGGATTCCAGGTGTCCGTTAATAGCTCCCTAGAGGTCATTGGGTGTCCATGAACCACCCCTTGAGAGTCCTGGGTGAAGCAAAACGAATCATGGGAAGCTCTGGCCACCCCAGAACAACGCAACGCTGCCCCTCCCCCCTTTCCGAGAAAAAAAGCCCGGTCATTTGTCGCCGCGGGCTCGTAAAGCACCACTCCTGGCACACCCACCGCTGGTCGGAGGTCGGAGGAGGAATATATCCTAGACACTCCATGTATGCCATATATGTCTACATTGCGGTGGTTCTGGGGGTCAATGTATAGGCATATATGCCATACATGGAGTGTCTGGGTATGAGGATGTGTTTTTCATCTGTTGTTCCGATCGGTGGAGATGTGGCTCTGCTTTTGGGGTCCCTATACAGCAGTGTATTGATATGACGTCTCTCACTAGTGCAGTATTGTGCAGTGCTGGTTCGATTTCAATGATTTCAATCAGCCTCTCGCCCATGTTCTATGCTTCATCAGCTCGCCCCTGTCCTGCGATATCAGCAGCAGTGGGAGAACTAACAACAACCACCCAGCGCAGCCGGCACCGCGGAATCGGCGTGTCATGGCCCTTCGATGCCCTTCGGGGGGTGACCCAGCGATTCCGAAGTTCGTATCTTCTGCCGCCCGCTGTCGGCCGGCCCTTGACCTACATGGAGTCGAGATGTGACTCGCAGGTTCAAAGCTGAGATGTGACTCACAACACCTGAATTCGTACAGTATGTGTCTGTCGACGTCTTAGTTTATGTCGATGAGGTCTTGCAGATGAGATCGCGTCAAAGATCGTGTGAAAGGCAGTGGAAACAGAAGGTCCGTGTTAGAAGCAGTCACTTAATACCACATCCATGAACCAAGCCAATAAACTGCTGTGTCGAGGGAAGTTCGAGCCAACATAGCACCAACATGTACCAACATGGGAGATGAGATGAACGGAACGATATATCACACAGTGGCAACAGCCAGTGCACATCTATCTCGAGGTGAGATAAGGTTGCAAAACCACTGCACCAGCAGCTGCGCAAAGGGAAATATCAGCGGACTTGGTCTCTTTTGCATGTTTTGCCGCTTCGAACGAAGGACGTCTCCACGTTCATTGTCTGACCGCCAAGTGCTGTTTGCACCTGGCACAAGTGAAGCTGGTTGAAGCAACGCGGCGGCCGTGGAGGTCCAGGGATGTGTCAATCCAAGAGAGGTTCAGTGACCTCAAAAAGGGCACGACTGGGGTACCTATGGAATAGTCTCTCTATATATATAGACTTCTATTATATAGTTCTTCAAGCTCTGTTGGATTGTCACATCCTTGGGCAGTTGTGTCAACTTGCTCACGGACAGCCGGATGTCACACGGGCCGGCAAACATTAAACATGTTAAACTCCTCTGAGACACCTCAAAATGGAAACCAACTCCCAAAACAATGGTTCTTTAAATTCAGACCATCTTTTTAAAAGTCAATCCATGGTGGTTGCAATCCTAGGGTTTTGTGGAAACACTACTAAACATACTGTTCTTTTTCGTTCTTTGTTCGCCTCACCCTTTGGAGACGTCCGGAGTCCAGGAAATCCCAACGAGGTCCCAACATTCACTTGACAAGCCTGCCAAAAGCTCAGTACATGGAATAGATGCAGTACACGTACACCTACCAGGACCCTCCTGTCTTGGTGCCCTGTCTGGAAGCCTTTTTTCGGCCGGTCGTGTGAGGGTCGGAGGGTCCTGGTATATGGCTGAGGGTCACTGGGACACCCTGGTGGAACAGAATCGAGCTCAAAAAGGTCAACCGGGCCCCTGGTGAAAGGAGCATTTTGGGGCTCTGGGTGAACCTACCCACAGCCATATGTGCTCTCCCTTCTCACACGTCCCCAGCGTCGCGGTGCCTCACCTGGTCAAAACCGGATCGATTATGGCTATGGCTATTGCTAGTAGCCTGGCTGTTGGATCTTCGCATCCAGGCTTGAGTTCTTCTGCCTTCACCATCATCCCAGCGACTCGCTGATGTCACTTCATCCCACCTTCGCTCTTGCACTAGCCAGCAGTGAGTGCCTTGATCTCACCCTGGCGACAGGGCCACTGAACTGAGGTGCTATGCACCGGTGGTGTGCGTGATCCTCCTTGATAGCAGCACTGAGGGTCGTGCAACCCATGGTTTCACAACCCCTGCTGGAAGAGTCCCAAGTGTATTTCAGTCTATTTCAGTGGGGATGGCTGTGAAAAAAAATCGCCAGTCCCTATCAACCGTCCCTTATGCTTTGCATCAGGCCTGTGACACTAATAGCAAAAAATACTTAAATACATTCCTGAAACCTTGAATCACCTCTGTTTCGGACCACCAACCACTCAAAACTCCACCCCAAATATGATCAAACGTCCTATCAAAACAAATGTCAAATGGGTTCCGGGTTCATTGTACATGGAACATTCTTCACACACTCTTGCAAGGCCAAGCCCCTCATGCCACTCCTCGGCAGCCCACTGGTTCCAGCCTGGGATGCCCGCATGGCCGCCTCAGTCAGGCGTGGGGACCAAAGCGCGCACAAGGCAACAGAGGTTGAAGAGCCATGATCAAACCCTGCTAGTACACTCCCGAAAACTAACGTGGACCCTGACTGTCTGGCTCCCTGGAAGATGGTTTTCCTCTACCAACCCCAGTGGTTTTCAGGGTCCATGGGATCGTCTTCCAGGGTGTAAACCCTTTGGTTCGACTATATATGTCTCCCGTTTTTTCCGTGCTCTGGTCTAGCTCGCTCCACTTCACCTGTGCAGTGGTTCTCGTCCCAGATGGGCTCCGGTCTGGTGCGTTCCGCCTGATCAAGTCGATCCCCAAACACCACGAGAAACGACCTGCCGACGTCGACCTGCCGAGCACGAAACGCTGGTGCAGGGGTCTGGGACTGGGGGTGGCAGGAGCCAAACCAGTCACATGAGTCGCATGGTTTCGTCGTATGGCGAGCCCCGTCCGGCGGCCGGTCCGGCGGGAACGGCACACCGGGCGCCCCGGGCGGCGCGGTCGTAGCACCAACTCTCCGGGTTTCGGGGACATTCCGTCGCGATGTGCCCGTCCGAGTGGCCTCGAGGCGTTTGGACCTTCGGAGGGACCTTCGGAGGGGTTGGAAGGAAGGACACATGGAACACCTGGTCCAACAATAAGAGATGAAAGATGGGATTTCACGGAGCTTTTGCACGGAGTTGTGAACATTCGGGGATCTTCATGATCACCGCGGGATTCTTGAAACTGTTGGAGTTGTGGCGGTGGGGGTCGATCACAAGTCGACCGCCTGGGAATGGTCTTTATACTTCACTCTCCCTGCGCCAGATCGTCTGGTCCTTCCGTTGTTTTTTCTTCCCCCCCCATCCTCTGTTTTCGGCATCTGGGCAGTTCCGCCTCGGATTCGGAAAATGATCATGATAGGGAAAAAGGATTGAACAATCCTTGAACATTTAGATGATGTATACTATGTTCTATACAGTAAATGTATGAACATGCTGTGCAAACATCCCTTCCCTTCCCTAGTTGCTCCACTAATTGCTCCAGGTGCCTTTTAAAGGCATCGGGTGTGCGCAGCAAACCGAGCGCTTACTTGACAACCCTGGCTCGGGCCTGGAGCAGGCCACAGACTTGAAAAACGATAAAAAAAGAAGGTGAGTAAGTGCTATAGCCCTAGGCGGGATCCAACTACCTTCTCAGGTACGGTGATGTGTTCGACACTGTTATGTATACGTGCCATTGTCGGGTCCAGTCGTACCGAACCTGAGGTTTGGTACGAAAACGGATCCCTAAGGTTGGGTGATAGTGACTTTAGTGGTTGAAAATGGATGAAAATGGCAAGTCACGGTACTTTCTCATACTTCTTCCGATCCAATTAGGTCCTCCCATCCGATCCTCTCATCCTCCAATCCGGTCCGAGCGGCAGAAGAAGCACACTTTCGGCTCCAGTCCCATGGCCACTCGCCCTGAGCAACACATAGCAAGACCCGGCACGACCCCGATCGGCACGGTGGCGAGGTGTTCGGCGGGCGATTTCTGCAGAGACTGCGGCCACTCGACCACTCGGCCTGATTCCTGAAGCATGAGGTCGAAGTGGATGTCCCAAAGAGGCACATGTCATGCATCATTGACACGTTACTGTCTCTGTCTAAGTATGTTTAAACAATATACACTTATTATAAGACTTTTAATGATGTCTGATATACAAATATATAATCATGTATAGATTGTATAGCATGTTTGCATCTCTTCCCTCCAGAAGGCCACCTGTCAATGCTCATCCAGCCAGTGATGTCTTTTTTTCCGCTCGATTGCCCGGCCAGTTGAACCCCTCTCCATGGCACGCCTTCAGGATGTGAGTAGAGACAATCAGCGCGGGCCTCAGCGGTTCACAAACATCTTCTCAAAACGATTCCAAGACCTCAAGATGTCGTTTGATTAATCAAGCCACCCGTTTGGATTGTAAAACCTCTCCAATATGGAGGTTTCAATATGGTACTATTTACTATTTCACATTCTACATGAGATATCTCATGTGAACAGTGAAACCACCTGCGATGACTCATCATCCCTTGCACCTTGCCGCTGAAGGCATGACGGACCATTTTTCTTGCCTTTTGCCCGCCACGGCCGCCCACGGTTCCTCCATGTTCCTCACCAACTCCTGCCCTGTGTGCAGTCCTCTTGCCTCACAGCTCACGGGCGCCGTTCTTTGCTCAAAGCTTCGGCCGCAGCGCCAGCAGCACGGCCGCCACCGCGGCCATCGCCGCCGCACCGGCGACGAAGGCGCCGCGTTGTGCGGAGCGCTGGCGCCGCAAGCGCTGGCGTGCGGGCGCCAGATCAGGGTCGAAGTGACCATCTTGCAGGCGCCGGTGGACGCACGCCATCGCGTGGGTTAAGGCCTGGTTGGCGCCATCCTCATCCAGGAGCTGCCACACCTGCTCGGTAGATGCTGCGAGGGTTCTGTCACGAAGGGAGGGCAGTCTTGGTTGAAAAACCCTTCAATTCTTCAAAACTTACAAACGAGAGTGGCTACAAACTCCAAGTTGACTCCAAATTAAACAAAGACTTGACCTCCCCAGCCTGAGAAAGCCCAGGTGAACATCCTCCTTCCCCATCAAATCCCAACCCTCAAACACCGACCTGGAGGGCGTTCCGAACGGTTCGACCCCTTGGGATGTGGAGGCTCCAACCGATTCCTGAGTGTTTATATACCCAGCTGGGCTCCAGGAGGTTACCTCCTCAGGTTCGGTATGACTGGACCCGAACATGGCACCCACCCCAGTCCCACCTTCTGAGGAAGTACGACTGGAGCCCTAGGGATAAACATCGTTAGACCCTTCCCCCCCACGGGCGCCTTTTCATTCAGGCCCCCTGGCGTCTGCTCCGCCAGCAGCCGCGCCAAGGTCGCCTCCGCCGCGCCGCCGCTGTCTTCGGCCCAGGCGGCGAAGCTGGCGGTGGTCCAGGCCGCGGCGGTGTCGCCGGAGATGCCGTGGGTGGTCAACCACTGCTGCACCGTGAGCTGTTGCTTGTAGAAGTTCCCCATGAGCCCGGACACCTGTTGGAGGGTTAGTTGGTGCGTGCTTTTTTTTTACAATTCGCCAGGGTTTAGAAGAAGAGGCCTGCCTTAAAAAAGACCAAGAGAGGTTTTTCATAGCCCTTTTTCGCCCATCCCATATGTGCCACTACACAGTCCTATATGGTCTCTCAACCCCTCTTGGGAACTTGGTGGGTACAGCACAAACATGGAGATGCATCAACAAGCTAAGACCGATCTGTAAACAGTTTTCTTTGGGCTACGGTACGACAGGGACTGCAATGTATGCCAACATTGACCCCTCTGGCACCACCCCTGGCCTGATCGGCATATATGACACACATGGAGTGTCTTGGATATAGCTTAACACTCACGACGCACTTCACACGTTAGTTCATTCAAGGTCATCTTACATCATGACCGAGCAAAGAAAGCAACGAATTACCAGCCCGAGATGGATCCACCTACCAAACCTGAGAAGGTATGTGGGATACTCTTGATGCAGGCGCATAAAGGAGGCTCCAAGTGCCGAACCTGAGGAGGGTATGTGGATCCCATAGGGCAGTGCATGTCTGGGTGGTTTTCAGTTCACATGTCCAGTGAATGGATGTGGCAGGGGGCACCAACCCCGCGGAAACCCTGCAGAACGCGGCGGCCCACTCGGAACTGCGCGTCATGTGACTTAGTATATACCGCCCTGGTTGTTTTTCCTCTCTCCCTTCCGGTGAATCCTTTCAGACAGCATCCAAGACCGTTGAAGTGAGCCAAGACACGCCCATCAGCTGTCGGAAGTTCCCCTCATCCTCCACCGTCACACATCGTCCCAGCGTCTGGAAAATGGCCAAGGCAGCCTTGCCGGGCTGCAAGAGCAACGCGGCACCATGGCGGTGAGCAATGGCTGGGTACCTCAGAGCGCGTGGGTGTGCTTGTTCAAATGACATTGGACACCTCCCAATGGAACATCTCTGATTCAGAAGCATGAAAAAGGAACACGCATGGTGGTCTAGGGGTCTCAAACGGTCTCCGATGTCTCCATTCACATTTATACTTCAAACCCATGCATGAGAGTCATGGCGGTAGTTTCAACCTCGTTCTCCATGCCATCTCCATTGGTCTCCTGGCTTGAGCTTTTCCAAGACAGGACACCAAGAGTCGAATCAAGGTACAGTGCCCTCCTTCCTCGATTTTGCTACACCTTTTCCTCAAAACAATTGGCCCCAAACAACGCGGAGATTGCATCATGGGCATCATCTTGAGGGCAGGAAGCCACATCTTCAGCAGGTTTCTCAGCACGGTGTTTCTTGCAACCGACTAACTCCAAGCGACCCTGCCGCCAAACAAACAAAATGAAGCAAGTACTACCCAACACCACCCAAAGGGTTGTTTTTGGAAGGGAACAACATCTTCAGGGGAGTCTGTAAACCACGCTTTGCTTGTTGCTGGACTATAGTATATAACTATAGTAGCTACTAGCTCAATGAGACTTTCGTGTGACATGCTCAACAATATCGTGAACTCCTGGATCATCCACCCCAATTTCACCTCCCCCCACATCCGCCCAACAACCCAACACACCCCAGGCCAAACGCTGGCCGCTTGGCGGCCCGCTTCCTCACCGCCCAGGTGCGGAATCGCCACCGAGACTGTAGCCTGGCAATGCTGCCGCAGCTGGGACAACGAAATCCCGGCCATCATGGAGATGACCTCCGGTGCCGGTCGCGGTGCGGTCGGAGTCTCGCGGTGTCGCCGCGGCGAAAAGGAAGCAGGCAGAGCGTGAGGTGCAGCAGCTAGGTGAGGTGCGAGGTAGGTACTAGAGAGGCACGGCGACGACCCATTCCCAAGGGATGGCGCGCGTGTTTGCTGCCTCTAGAGCCATGGCGGGCCTCTGGGAGTTCCAACATTCCAAGCACAAACTTTAGAGGCTGAATCCCAAAGAATCTGGCTGGCTCATGATTTTTACACGATGATCTTGGAAGGCTAGCTAGCAAGGGGTTGGGGGAACCCCCTGTAGCTGCTTGGCTCCTTGTTGAACGGGGATATGGATACCCCCGTCTCCACCTCCACATTGCCCCTGCCAACCAAAATGACTCAATGACCAACGGAGCTAAGTATCGAGCTAACGATGCTCCCGATGCTTCCGTCAGCCTTCCAAAACTGCGACCGCATCAAAACAAGCCCAGAACATTCCCAAATGCCTGGAATACCTCCATTGGAGCCTTGGAAGTCGAAGGGTAGATGGTTCCCTGCAACTTGTAAGGCTTCCATTCATGTGGAGTGGTTTCCATACAGGCACTCTAGCAGTTCCAAAGGAAAGCCGAACTTGGAGGATAGGGATGCCCAGAACATCCACGCATGTTCAGCTCCGAAAGCCACCCAACTTCATGTGACACCATTTACTACATGGAGCGTTGGGTCTTCCAACCAGGTCTTCTTCCCTTCCACTCAGTGGGCGGGCCGCCAGGCGAAACCCACGCCACGCGACGAGGGTCGGGGGCCTCTTGCCCTTTGCGGAACTCCAGCTCGGAGAGGACGGCCAACGCCTGCTTCGGGAGCACCGACAGCAAGATCCAGTCACTGCACTGCACGACCTCTTGGTTGCCTCAAAAAAGCAGCGCGGGAGGAGCCGGTAGCAAAGAAGCCTCTACCCTAGACTTCCAAGACATTTGTTTATGTTGACCTGGTTTTTGCATGTCTTTGTAGTGTAAAATATTGTATAATCCTTAGTTGAGTCGGTAAAGCCTATTAAATTAATGGTGGTTGGAAGCCTATAGGGTCTAGAGTCGCAGGGCACGCGCACTGCGGCGTGCCGAAGTAGTTGCGGATCGGCATCTGTGAATCGGGATCCGGCAAGTGTTGGGTCCGTACACCTAGGACTGTACTCGGCTGCATGTGTGGTTTAATGATTCGGTGGTCTTGAAATATCCTTAAATCTTGGATGATCTTGGATGTATCCCATTCCCTGTAACAGTGGATGATGATGGTTAGTAAAGCCCTTTCTCAAACATAGTGATAATATTTTATTGACTGTTACAGTACAGGTCGTGGAACACACACCACTTAAATCTGTATAGAGATGGGATCGAACACTTGTCAGTCGTGTTCAATTGTGTGCGGAATAGGATGGCACAAACCTCTGTCCCAAATGGGGGTCGGGTCCATCCATCTGTTCACCACCGACCCACAGGGGGTTCGTGCGTCCGTTCAGACCCCAAAACCGCCATGGTCTCCAGACACGACCTGTCGACTGCCAGGACGGACTGCCGAGTGGTGCGGCTAGGGGTGGTGTGCCAGGGGGTCAATTGATCGGCATTATATGGCAGTCCCATGGAGTGTCTGGGCATGTTTAACATCCACCCCTCCTTTCGCCGCTCCCCCTCCAGCCCCCCATCCCCGGCCATCCCCGGCCTCCAACCGCCCACAAAAATCCCCCAAGAAACCACGGTACCAAGTCACTTTCGGCCACGCGCACCAAGGCTGGAAAGCTCTCCTGGAGCTCCTGTGCCTTCAAGGCATTGCGTGGTGAGAGGACGATTTGCCGTAGGCCCAGGTCTTTGGGCAGTTCCGGGTTGCACAAGCCTCGGTGAAACGGACGGAACCGGCATGAACCGCGGGCTCTCAGCTGATCACGGCGACTGGTAACCGCGGTGAGACTGTTTCTCGTTAGGAGCGAGAAACACGAAGTACGAAGTCAGCACCACAACAAGGGCAATCCAATCATATACTCCCTACCTTCTGAGAAGGTGTTTGGGGTGGGTTTGCAGGGTCCAAACACCTTCTCAGAAGGTACTTAGAACCCTGGTACCTATATGGCCATTAGAGGCATGCCTTGCGAACGCACAAACACCAACAGCGCCTGCTTCAGAAAAAACGATGGGATCCTTAAAGCTTCTCACCAGCACAAGCTACAACGCATGCTTCAGTGGCTGCACAGAATCACTGCGATCTTGTTTGGGAGGTCTCTCTGCCTGGGAGCCCCTCATCATCACAAACATGCACAATGAAGCAAAGTGGCCTATGGTTCGGAGGAAACTGCTCGAAGTCAAAGGTCAATGTGACACTGACCATAAACCCAAAGAATCCATGACTTGGGGCGGTTTTTGAGATGCTTTAAGGGTCAGGTACATCTTCCAATTCCACATACAGTATATGGATTGTTGGGGCACTGAAGCATCACCTAGATAACATGCCTAGACATCCCAAGAGTTGTGTGTTGGACCGCTAAACCGGGCTAAACCGGGCACGCTGTGACACATCTGTATTCACCACGGTCTTGAAAGAATCACCTGTACATCATCTTCACCATCTTTACATCTCTGGAAACTCACTAACAGACCCTGAGTCCAACTGTTCTCCTCATTTGTCCTCTTAATTACAAAGCCAGCGGTTGTCTGGGTCCATGTTAGTCTTCACCATTCTTTATATCCCATTACCGACTGCTACAGGTCATGGGACAAACTCAGCCCAGACCGTCTTGCGCCCAAGAAAGAACTAAAATTAAAACACCACCCCCCTTCTACAGCAAAACATGGACCTTCTACAGTTGCGTTGGGGTGACCAACAGAAGCTGCGGGCAAACGTTTTTGATGAAACATGTGTTTCATGTCTTCTCCCCCCCCACCTTTGATGGCTGCTGAGGCGATGGTGCCCACTCCAATAACGCCCAACACGCAGCTCGGCATGGCGCAGATGGCGCCGGCGCCAGTCTCTGCGGCCCGTTCGGCAGGGTCGTGAGGTGGACAAAACACCCGGCGAAAAGACCATATGCCAAGAGATCTTCCAAGCACCACTAGGTCACTAGGTCTGGGGATTGGCTCATGGAGGCACCAAACCTATATAAGTAATGTGAGTCACACCTACCAAAGAAAAAGAACTCTCCAGCCGAAATAGCAATCTTCTGGCAGGTCGGAAGCTGTTTGAGCCGTTGGCGTCAGCTATGCCCTCCGGGAAAAATGGACGCCGTGGCGGTGCGGCACAGGGCGGCGAGAGAAGAACTGACAACAGTAGCCTGGCTGGTCTTAGTCGCATAACGTAGTATATCCAAAATAGATCAAGATAGCCATAATATTGATACATAAGCATGAAATAGCATGAAATAAGAGATGAGAGGATACTACAAAGGAGCTGATTCATTGGGAAATGCTTGCATTCCAAGAGCAGAAACTCCATCCAAAGCAAACGATGCAAACCTCGTTGCCATCTCCCCACCTTTTCGGGCGTCGGGCGACTCCAGCGACTCCGTCATGGCACTTCGATCTGCGTCTCCTCTTCCGGCGAGTCACCGGCTCCTCTTCAGGTTCCAGCTCATCTGGTTCAAGGTCTTCCAACTCTTGCACTGGCAAAGCCAAACGTATCTCCCAGCGGCTGGTGCGAGCATCGCCTGCCAGCGGCTCGATGCTGTGCGAGGTCTGCGGATCTCTCAGCACCACGCGGAGGACATTGTTGGCCAGTGGCAAGCGCAGCAACACCTGGCTACGTGGCTTCAACTCCTTATCAGCTAATCACTACCTAGTCAGCGGGATCAAAAATTCCCAAGTTGCAACAAAGATCTGAAACTACCACCCAGACACCTCTGGAGCACAGGGCACTCCTTTGGCTCCGGCCAAGACTCCAGCAGCTTCCGCCGTCCTCTCTCCCGCATCCTGCTCGGCATACCTTGGATTTGCTGTCTGGGAAGCCGACCAATAAATAACCATCTTCCCCAGATTGGGGGATGTACCATAATACAAATGCCTGGATATATACCAATGGGACAGATCAAACACCTGATGCGCTTCTTCCAGGATACACATCCGCCCCACCCAAATGTCGAAGCTGCCGCGCGCTTCGCCTGCGGCTGCGCCCGCGCCCGGCCGTGAGGGTCTCGAGGGTCAACGTCACGTCCAGCTGCGCGGCGTCCGCGCAGGTGGGCCGCTCGTAGTCGCCGGGCCGGAAGCGACGGATCCACACGGAGCCGTCCGCGGTGCGGGTGAGGCCGGTGAGACGCTCCAGATAGGCCAAGAAGACCGGTGAGGAGAAGGTTTGGGCCACCAGCGCAAGGGCTTGCCCTGCAGAGTGCTGCTTTGATATGGAAGTGCTTCTGTCAGGCTTCGGCTTCTTGTTCTTCTTGCATTTCTTGATGACAGGTTTGTTGGTCTTCTGGCTGAAGCTGCAGCAACGTCTTTCAAGTGCAGGACCAAGGACCTGCCATCCTGCACCAGGCTCCCATCCATTCAAGTCGCAGCTTTGGAGCGCCGAGCCTATTCTTTGAACTGCCTCGTCGCACAGAAAGTGGGCCAAGCGTAGCTTGCTTTCCTCTTCAAACTTCTGGCGCAGTGACTCCACCTGAGCTTCTTGGAGGTAATCAGCTGACATCACACTCTCCAAGGCTTTCAGAGAGTCCAAAGCCTCCGGACCCCTCAACTCACACCTCGCAAAGGCCAGCAGCTCCGGGCTCCAGCTCCGCCTGGCTCCAGCTCCGGCCGCTCGTGTAGCGCCCCCGCGGAACACGCCGTGGAGCGCCAGCTGCGGCGCTGCATCGGAGACCACGCGCGTGATGCCCACCGCTGCGGCTCGATAGAGATAGAGCCGACTCGCCTGGGGCACCAGCCGCGTCTCGGCCGTCCCCGCAAGTGCCGCGGAGGCCGAAGTGACCGCCCCGGGGTGGGTGAAGAGCTCGAGGAGGCCTCCATCAGCCTGGGTCCACCAGCTCTCCGTGAGAAACAAGGTAAAGCTCACGTCCTCTGAGGTGGAACGGCTCAGTCCTCCGAAGCAGTGTGGCAACACATGACCTCCAGGTGGAACGGCCACCAAGGCACAGCACGGGCGACCACTCAAGGGCGAGCCCACAATCTCTTGGACGATGCGGCGCCATTCATCTCCTTCAAAGGTTTGGCGTAAGACCTCCAGTGCAGGGCAGGTGTCCTTGGAAACCTGGTCTGAGAGTTCACTGAAAGGTAAAACCAGTGCTACGGTGTGTTGGGTTTCAATTGGCTGAAGCCCTTTGAGCTCACCCACCAGCTCATCTCGCAACTCCTCCAATTTCTGGCCTTCAAAGGCCTCCACTGAAATGATGCTGCTACCTTCTGACCACATAGATTTCAGACACTTCAAATCTTGCTGCCCAATCGAAGCCTTCAGTGCCATCTCACTCCCCATGGGTGCAGGTTTCTGCGCCAAAAGTGGCGAGCCAACTGGCCTTACATCCAACAATGTTGGGGAACAAGCTAACTTGTTCACTTCTTCCGCAAGCATCATCATCTCGCGAAGCCTTTGCCCTGCATCTGGCCGCCCACTGGGCAGGCTCGCGCTGGAAAAGACCTCGGTGCGTTGGCAATTCATGCAAAGGCAAAATCTGTCTTTCAGTGCAATTTTTCCGAACTTGCCCCCCAAGAAGCACATTTCCCTGCGTTGCACCGCAATGGCTTTTGGCAACCGCGGTTTTAACTAAAGAGTTGAGTCGTTCTGTCATTCAAGCAAGGCCTGTAAGCAGATCACAGCAAGAAATGATTGCAAAATAGTCAAATGGAGGATAATGGAGGTAAATCCAACTGATGCAAGGACAAGGATAGTGCAAACCTACTCATACCAATGACTACTCATGACACTTGTCATCATTGCTAAATGTCCAATCAATGGCAAGACCGATGCGACAAAAATTCTTGCAACATGTTGCAACATCTTCCCGCTGACATGCCCGCCCTGCACTCAGGCACAGGCGATGTAGCTCGAGAAGCTGTGGGCCTTCTGTCCAGCTGAGCGCGGCTGAACCACATCCTCACGGGAGTCGCGGAAATGCTCGCCGAGATGCTGGCGCAAAGTCTCCTGGAGACGGCTTCTGCATCGAAATGAGTTCATTCAAAATCCATTTGGGGTGCTTTTCTTGGGCTTCCCCCCAAAAAAACGCCGTAAACGGATGCATTCCTCACGACATCGCACGACAAACCATGGAATCAATCATAAAGAATCGGATCGAAGAAGGTCCGGATGTTCGTTCGTACCGTGCGTTCCGAGTCTCGGCCGTGGTTCGGCTTGCGGTGAAGGCCACCAAGGCTTCCTCCTCATGAGCACCTACATGGATGGAACTACAGGAGCTCAGTGTCGTCACCGTGTCCAGCCGGTTCAGCGCCAACACCAGGCTTCCGACCCCCACGTCCACGTCGACTCCACAGGCTGCGACGTACTGTTCCAGGACATCGGAGGCCAAGCCACAATCATGCGCAGCTGGCGGAGCAGCAGTAGCTGCTTGAGCTGCTTGAGCTTGAGATGTGCGAGAAAGTTCTAGCTCGTTCAGAGACTGCAAGGCTTGCTTCTCAATCCGTTGTGCCAAACGAAAGCGCTTCTTGTAGGCCTTTAAGGATCCACTAGGCTTTGGATGTTGATACACTTCATTCCAGCTCTGCGAAGAGCCATCAGCAGAAGCTAAAGCTGCTTCTAACTGCTCCATGGCTTCATGAAGCTGCACACATAAACGAAAGCTGAGAGAAAAGAAGAAGGCATTGGGATTGAATTTAATGAATTGATGTTGAATTGTAGCATCTTTGGGACTTGTGCAGTGCTTGCAGGTGAGATCGTCAACAAATGGTTTAAACAAGTTTAAACTGTTCCATCTTGGTACTGGATGCTTCAACACACAAAACTCTGCAGTGTAGCTCAAGACAAAAATAGATGGTCCTGAGATGTCCTGGGTGAAACAAAACAGAACGACAAAACATAGTACCCAAGCGCTCCATGTACGCCATATATACCTACACTGGGGTGGTTTGGGGGGTAATGTAGGCATATAGTCCATACATGGAGCGTATGGGGTAAGTAATGATGGCTTTGGAACTTGTGATTCTCTTTCACCAGCCAGGTCTCCTTCTACCTGGCGAAATCAGCTGCATCTTTCTGCCCGACCCTCATCTGCTGCGGCTCCCATCACCACCACCCGACCCTCGTTCTGCGGCTCCCGGCGCACTGCACGCCGAACTTGCATTGTCCCTTGGTGGGATCCTGCGGGGAGAAGAAGCACTAGCACCAAGGCAGCGCCGCATGGAGGGTCGTCCCTCTGCACGTTCGGTCGTGCAAAAGAAACATGGTATTGATTTAGATGCCACAAATGGAGATAGATTCACGTACATTGCAATGATCTAGATCTAGATTCCGTGTCCATGGGTGTAGTTAGGGACCGTTCGTATTTGGTCCTCCTTCTTGCCCTACAGCAACTGTGGGATGCGGATACTGATGCGGATCTATGTCGGCCAGAACCCACTGATTAGGGACTCCGGGGGTGAGTCTGTGAGAGTGTGACTACATAGGCCCCGTTTCTGGCATCTGTTGAGGTGCAGCAGGCATTAAAAGCATGTGGCAGACAGTGATCAGTGCATTCTTGCACCTCTGTGCACCATGTCTCAAACACCCCATATCACAATAGCTCATTTATGTCAGGGAATGGTCGATGTCAGGGAATCGCCAGAGATACGGCAACACATGGACCCATGTCTCGACCATCAATGACGACTGGTATTGTAACTGTAGGTGTAAAACTGTTTGGTTTAGTACTAGTATGTAAAACTATGTTTCTTAGACGTTCTCAGATGTTCTTTGTGTGTGGATATTGGCATCAGATATTGGCTATATCACGCTATACTACACGAAACATATGCATACTGTGCTATCATCGCTCCACTGCTGTTGACATTCTTTAAGACAATCCCATAGGGTCCAGGTACCTCCTCAGGATGGTCTTGGAGGTGAAAGTACTTCCAGAGAATGGTCTTGGGGGGTCAAAGGACATCCTCAGGATGGTCCTGGACCCTTAGGGAATTGAATCAATTGTGATTCGAATCCTCGAATCCCATCCATCTGAGTGCAGCACATCATCAATGAGACGGCCATCTGGATGGTCGTAGAAGCAGCCTTGCCTCACGATTTACGAATGCCGGGTGGTCGTGGTCTTCTGACGAGTCATATCATGTGTGACTTTGAGGGAGAACGTATAGGAAAGGAAAGGAATCTGAAGGGAACCCAAGGGGCAAGGTATGTGCGCAGAGTCCATTCATGTCAATTTGTTTCCAAATAAGACACCAAGACGTCATAAGATATCATAAGTCATTTCTGCAACCCTGAAAGGGAAAATGCTTCACCCGGGCTTCAGAGTCATACTGCATCCGTTCGTTCCCAAAAAAGACAGAACAGCACCGGGCTGCCCCAAACGGCTCACACCGCCGAAGACAGACGGAACCAGCCGCCTCTTGCAGCGCCGGCCGAAGGCACAGGGGTTGAGCTCCGAGTCGATTTCCCGACCTAAACCAATGGGGTTCCACATCTGGAAGATTGCCGGTGACTCAAAATGACTCGACGTGACTCCAGAACAAGCACCGGGTGTGCATGATGGACAACCCCCTTAGAGGTCAAGGGGTGTCCATGAACTACCCCGACTGGGAGTCCAGGAAACCAACAACGTCTTATTATGATTTATCATGCAAAATATCTAGCCCAAATGTGGGGTTCTGCATCTGGAAGATTGCAGGTGACTCAACATGACATGAGTCAAGAACCATAACAAAGTTTATCTAGCCCAGATGTGGGTAGGGTAGAGCTCGTGGAGGCCCTTGGGGGCGGCGGGGGCCAGTGGAGTGGAGGTGGAAGGCAGACCGCGCATACGTTGTGTTCCATGGAGGGGTCTCAGGAACGGATTGCAAAAATGGCCACCGCGCTCCTGAAGTAAGGAAAGCAAATGCTTCACTCTTCCCCGCGAAAGCTGGACCTCTTCTTTCCCATCTGACCTCAAACCCCAAACTCCCCCATCCAGCGGTTCAGCCACGTCTTCGAATAGCTCTTTTTTTGTGCCTTCACTTGCCATTTGGGCATGAAGTGATTTTGCACCTCTCTGCACAAATTGAGGGGATGATCCAGAATGGTTTGCATTTTGCTGAACATTCTGTCCAATCTTCGCACAAACCCGGTTGAGGCGCATCGTCGACGTCGGCATCGTCTGGTCAACCCGTCAGCAATCACAGTCCATTCGGGAGGGATCACCCCCGCTATCAGCTAGCGAACCCTCTTGCAAGCTGCGCTTTGGCCTTGCCAAAATGAGTTCACAAAGCCAGTGCTACACTTGTGCCAAAAGCTTCCACGCCTTCATGTCGGTTTACTATCACCATCTATCACCTCTCAGGATTCTACTTCGGGTCTTTGATTGGGTGTGTGTGTGACAATCCGTTCGCCCACCGGCACTCACTTCAGCGGCGGGCCGATGGGCCCCGAAACCCCCAGCTGCGCCCGTCGGGCGCTCAGCTGACGCCGAGGGTGGCCTCCATGCACGGGCTCTTCCGCAAGGTGGGCAGCTTGCTGCCCTGGCGCATCTCCGCCGCGGCCGCGCGGCTCTCGCAGGGGGCGGGTTGGGAAGGCGTGAAAAGAGAAGGAAGAGGAAAGAGGCACGAATTAAAGGCACTAATTGGAGCCGCTAGAAGCTGCTGATAAGATCTTGATCTGAAGAATGGTAAAGGAGAAAAAGTCCGTCCTTTTGGCATGAACTGTAACAATGCCGAAGGTCTCAAATCAGGTGGTTCAAAATGTGGACATGCTTGACACCATTTAACACCCCTTAATTCAGGTATACAGTATAGTTCTTATCGCACACGACCACATTGCTTTTTGGACCTCTTTTTACCTTTTTGTCCGTTGAAAGCGATCAAAGTGGCCAGCCCACGACTGGCTTGGGCTCATGAACCCGAACCTGCTACATGCTACTTTGGTCCCAAAAACCCTGGGCTGTGAGGCTATTCTAACCCTCCCTTCGCCACTGACCTCTTCAGGGTCCCTTTGTCGGAGGTGCCAATCCCCCCTCTCGCCGCGCGTTCGACCCGCGTGCGCCGGTCGAAAGGGCGGGCCTTGCCATAGGCTGCGCTCAGTGCCACGGAGAGTGGGTAGCCATACTTGTCGGGCGCCGGCACCTGGGAGGAGCTTGAACACGGACGATCTTGGCAGGACGAAGGACGGCGTCCGTTCACTCAGACCGCGCCCGTTCTCCACGTCAAAGTGGGCCACACACCGGAGCCCAGCACCCAGACACCATGGGACTGCCAGGACGGACTGCCTTCAAAACGGCCAGGGGTAGATTGATCGGAGTTTGATGGAGTGTCTGGGGCAGGGTGGCTGAGACGCGTCATGTTAGCGGTGCTCTGAGACCGCTCCAACCGTGCAAAGCATTCGAGGTCCAAGGCGACCGTCTGGCCGGCCCTGAGAGCCCCACCAAGTCCCAAATGGTATAGACCTCGGCGGCGATGATCCGTGGCAACACGTAGACCAATTGCATGTACTATGGAATCGTCACACTTACACTGGGATGCATTGGGGTCACGAAACGGGGGGTAAATGTAGTATATAATATACTGTATATTCCATATATTGATATTGGGTCTATCGGTTTATCCCATTAAAGCAGATGATGATGGTTCAGTTGCAGGCCATGTTCAAACATCGTGATGTTTTTGTTAGCTGACTGTTACAGGCAAGTTCGGACAGATCCAAGATATATGATATACCTCAGGTCATACAGAAATCCATACATGGTATGGTTTGGGCTCAGGAGGGCCCCCCCAAGCGAACGCCCCGAACGCTGCGTCCGGCCTGGCCACTGTAGTTCATGTCGAGCAGTGGGCAATCACCTGCGGCGCTGGCCGCGCTGCCGGGTGCAACGGTTCACGTGCTGTCCTGGGCAAATCGTATGAAATCTGACGCTCCCCCTGGAACTAACATGGAAGTGCCCAAGCCCCCTGTTTGTAGAGGAAAAAGGCCTTCAAAAGGGGGCCGTTCTCTACCTTCCATGTTGGCTCCAGGCAGTGTAGAGGGGTCCGTTTGGTGGCATAGATTCATTGGGGGATATACAATGGGTGTCCCTCTCATGGGAGTGTCACACGCGGCGCTTCATGATTGCCAACACTCCCCGTTCGCCCCGTGCGCCGTCTATGCGCCGTCTATCCTGACGTCAGCGGTTCCGGCGAGCGACGGTTCCGCCGTGACCCTGCCGTGTTACATGGTGCTACTGTGACCACTTAGATGGGAGACTGTGCAGTGAGATACAGTGCATGGTGGTGATGCTTGGAGGCTCATGACAACGGTCACCAAGGCACCAACAGCCACGTGCCCTTGTTGGTGGTGTCCGGTGGGGGTTCTCAGATGCTGTCCGGGCGAAGCCAACATCCCAGGGTCATCCAGTGGGTTTTCAATGGGACTACCCTACCCTAGGCCTTCAGACAGGGCACCCAGACAGGTATATACAAACAATTTGAACACATATCCACTGGCTCCTGCAATCTCGCCCCCCCCCAAAAAAAGAGACATGACAAACTAACCTGATCCTGCCAACCGGGAAACCAGGAAAAAAAAGAACAACCAATTGAGATCTCACCAATTCCATGCAAGTCTCAATCCCATTTCATGTCTGGAGACATGAGACTATAGACCATGCCCTCCGGACTCCACCCCTTCTTCAGACTCGCCCTAACTTCTTCTCCTCCTCCTTCCGCCCCGACTCGCCGCCACCGCGTCTCGGCCCGCCGCCGGCGCTGCACCGGACCCGCGCGCGAACCCGCGCGCTGCACCGTAGCCGACGGAGCCCCCCACGCACGCACGGAGCCCAACACGGAGCCCGCGCCATAGCCGAACATCCCGAACTTCTTCTCGCTGCCGCCCTTATCGTAGCGGACCGAGAACCTGGGGAGACAGGCAGCAGGTGGACCAGGTGGTCGCTCTGCGGACCGGAGGAGAGGACCGGAGGAGAGGTTGAGCTTGCCCTTGGTGGTGGCCGCTTTTTCGCCAAGCCCATATGTACCACAGTGTTGGGTCTTAGTTCAGGTCTCTCAACCTCTCAACTGGACTGGCCAGTAGGTACCAGCACCCAACTCTACAGGTCTCTTCTGGTGGCTGACATGGAGACGTATACAAGTGTCAGGTGGTGACCTGTTGGAGGGTGCTGGTACAGTATAATCGTGTTTGGGGGCCATAGCATCTTAGCATGCCAGCATGTCATATAAATTCATATAAGCCGTAGTATAAGCCATATTATGATCTGCCACAAGGCTAAATCATTTGCCACTATCCTCCTAACCAAGTTCTTGGTGACTTGAATCAAGGACAGATGGGAGAGGCGGAAGTGCATGGCCCCTTGGAAGACGATCTTCCTCTACAACTAGGTCAACGGCCCGGTGCTCTCCACTTCCGTCGGAGGCGCCGTTCTCAACGCATTCTCCCAGTGACGAGGGAGACAAGGCGTTCGGCCACGTCTAAGGTCGCTGCTCAAAAAAGTTGTAGCCCAGGAAGAAGGGATACGTTGGCGACAGCGCATCGCCAACCAAAATGGGTAAGTCATCCTGGCGGCGGAAGAACAAGTCAAACATGTTAAGGCCATCCCAAAATGATTGACATCTGGCAGCATGCATAAGCTTAGTCATAAATCACCCATCAACATGTTCATGTTCTCCATCTTGCATGTTCGGGGTTGTTCAACCGTCTGTGATTCATAGCGCCTCAAGGCTCAAGGTAACCGTGAACTACCCCAATCAATCAAAACATCAAGACACTTCCAAGAGAGGTTGAACAGCCCTATAGCCCGTCCTATATGTACCACTACAGGGTCCTAGTTCTGTTCTCTCAACCCCTCTTGGTGTACGATATTTTACGATCGCTGCTTTTTTTCCGCCCACGACCCACCTTCGCGCCCACGTGCACACTGTGGTACTCGCCAATGAACAGAGGGATCTTCATCTTCTCTGACCAAAAAATGCTCTTCTTGTACCTGCGACATGGCTGTGTGTAAAAAAAACACTGAAAAGGAACAGAATAGACTACTACTAAGGAGGTCAACCTCCCATGGTTTCGTGAGTGTGACCCACAGCCGGTGGCAGCTGGTTTCTGGCGCCAAGCTGCTTGTCGAGGAAGAGCTCCTGCCAGAGACACACCAGAGCACACCAAAACCGGAGTTTCACCGAGGTCGGCTTCTCCCATTCCAAACCTACCAAGAGAGGTTTTTCAGCCCTTTTTCGCCCATCCCATATGTACCACATTGTCGGGTCTTAGTTCTGGTCTCTCAACCCCTATGTCAAGAGGGAAAAGCATATGACCTCCCCACCTTCCTGGCACCTTCCTGGCACCTTCCTGGCACCACTTCCTGCCGTCCCACCGTTCCTCGACCACATGCCCCGGGGCGGCCGTGTTGAAGCTGTGTACCCAGCGCTGGTGGAAGGCCGTCAAGACATCGTTCTTCCTCCGGTCGGTCCGGCACGGACGACACATCGACACGGACGACTGGACGACACGGACGATGAACGACGCGGTGTTCAAAGCACGGTGCGGTGATCCGCCCGATGCTCAGTAGATGGCCGGTGATGCTGGTGGATGTCTTTCGGTTGGAAGGTCTGAGCACCTTGCAGCCTATACCAACATACTCCTATATGGCCTCTATACACTTTTACGAGACCGTACAAGTCCAAAGGCACAGTAAAACCTGGTCCTTTCTCCTTGAGTAGTGTTTTTTTGTATATGACTAATTCCAGTAAAATCAGGGTCTTTGACCTGTAGGGGGGGCAGTACATGCAGGCATGAGGGCTTGCAGGATGGTTGTGTTCTTCAGCGGGTGCATCTGTCTAGCTCAAGCATGGCGAGTCGCGGCTTGTAGTTGGTCGGAGGTGCTTCTGGATGTTCCAGGCAGTGGTAGAGCTCCTGCATTTGTCCAAGCCTTACTTGCATGCACGGGCCACGGGTCTTGCATCAAGGATGTGAATGAACATAGAATGAAGTGTATGAGTCGTCGACCGGAGACACTGACTCCTCTATACTTGTCCGTTGACTCATCTTGCAATGATGCGACAACATGCGACAACTGTCACTGCATCAGCAACTTTGAGAGCTTAGCCAAGTGTCCCTGGAGGGTTCTTCCCAAAGGCTGCAAAAGAGAAGGTCACGGTGAAAGCAATGGGATTCCTTAGCTCATCGTCTGGCTTGAAATCCCAAAGCCACCCCCCACAAAAACCAAGCAATTCCTATATATATAGTCATAGTCAGTCACTTTAGTATCCTGTCCTGACAAGGCTGAAACTCATGATGATCTGGCTGAAACCGGGACCTCTTCTTCCGGGGGACCTATCCCCTACCCATGTGTCATCCACCCAGCATGCCCCACAGGCCCGATGTTGCAAAGGAAGCCTCTCCGTAACATTCAGGTCCTGGCACGGGTCCACATGGGGTCACCATGCATCAGTGGTGTTTTTTTTCCAAGCCGAGTGACAACAACGAAGGTCCGGAAAACACATGTGGATACAAGTGGTGACCCCGGAAGCAGCTCTTCCGTTTTCAACTGCTGCTTTGGCACAAGAGCTGCTGGTCCACGGAAGGATATGTTTTTCTCTTCAACTGTGAGGCAGCTTGCAGGAATAAAAATGCATCCATAAAAGAACTTCTCAGTATCCAGAAACAGAACCACCTCTTCTATTCTATGACCCTTCGAGGAACACCGAACACAAGTCCACCGCTTCGAGAATACGCATATTCTTCGTGCTGGGCGCTTTCGCCCGGCTTGGGCCCGGTCCGTCCTTCTCCGCCTGCAAAATCGCATCCAGGCTGCTAATCATCGCACGACACACCTCGCGAAGCGGACCGGTCGGTGTCTGCGGGTGACTTGAGGCTTCAAGTGCTCGGCATGGCGCTGGCTCAAGGCGAACGAGTATCATATATGATGATATCAAATATAAGACAACCCCCAGGTATCTGGCAAACATGGCTAAAGCCTGCCAGTTCCAGGGTTGTGCTTCTTGAGCGGCCACGCCCAGCTGTTTCACATTGTGACAACTGCATACCAAGCGTCAGAGGTCCTCGGGTGGACCTGCACATGGCCATGCGTCAGAAGGTCACATGAGAAGCTGTTGCAGCCGGACAAGGTCATGGTAGATTACTCTGTGGCACCGTGGGTCTCCGATCTCGGATTCTCAGAGATCAACCAACTCCGACCGAATGGCCCAAAAAGAGGCGCGGCGGCGCCGCGCGCAGCTCTTGAGAGCTTCCTCTCGCACAGCTCCCTCTCACAGTTCGGTGCTTGGAGAGGTCCCCGCATGCTCGGCACCGGACGACGCTTGGAAGTTCCCGCGCCTTCAGGTCGGGCTCGTTGCTAATGATCAACGCTTTGAGAGCAGGGTGGTACATGGTGTAGTTCCTCACCGTTCGCCCGTTCCGCGCGGAACGCGCTCTTCCGCAACGGTGCGGAAGCTGCGGCTACGGTGGCTCATCTAGCTATCGCTACCCCCCCCACATATGAAGGGGGCCGGAGGTCCAACGAGGGGCATGTCCCTGCTCGAGAGTCTGCAGTACATCGAGGCTCTGAAGGTATGGATCGAACCTGCGATCGACCAGATCCGGCAGGGGGTTGAGCGATCAACGCCGCAGCAGCTCAGCATTGCAGGCGAAGGCTCCGAATGGTAAAGCCTTTCAGGAGGTTGTTCTTGTAGGCCTCCACAAGGTCCGAAGGTTCGCGTGCCCAAGTGTTTTGCCATCAATCTCCGCATGTGCCATCAATCTCTGCCCCAGAAATGCTCCGCAACATGTTCCCATGAGACGCTGGATTCGGGAAACCTGGATTCGGGATGGTTCGGGGGGGGGGGCTCGGGCGTCTAGGGGACCAGAGAAACAGATTGCTACATGTTCCCGGGAACTTGTCCCATGAAAGCTTCAACGTGCAGGGAGCTCTTCGGAAAGCGAGGAGCAACTCGGTGTCCCAGAATCTCCACAGCCAACTCTGCTAGCAGGTGCTACTTTAGACTATTGGACAAATCAGAGAGGTGCTGCGATCTTCCTTCGAACTTGAGGTGACCTTCACTTGGCTTCAACGCCCCAATCTGCCCGCCGCCGCCTCGTAGACTTGGGAGAAGCACTCGTAGCCATTCCTGGCGCCCCACGAGGCGTCATGCGTCCGCGGCCCCTCACTCGTGTCGCGTGACGGGTGACCAATTGGCCCCCAGTCCTCGCAGAGAGCCAGATGTCCAGGGGACACAGCCAGACATCGGTTTGCAAGTAGGAAACAGGATGGCAAAGGCTCTGGAGGCACAACAGTGTCAGCGCACAAGCTGACGGGTGAGGCTCTGGAAGATTAGTTAATGGGCCCTGGGAACCATTGGTTGGTAGAGGAAAACCATCTTCCAGGAGGCCAAACAGTCAGGGTCCATGTAAATGTTCGGACGTCTTCATGGTTTCACTGAGGAGGTTCGCTGATTTGTCCAGCAGAACCAAGTATGACGGTATGACCAGCTATTCCACTGTAACACTGCGGCGTTGTTTTCCTCCTCCCTGCCTGTCGCAAGGATCCGGCCCTTGGATGAAGCCCCAGTCACTGAGGCCCACGATGATGTCCATGTCCCGCTTATAGGCTCCATCCAAAAAGCTCCGGTGGCTGTAGTTCCTCACATATCTGACGATGCCTCTCCCCAACGCCAAGAATGAACAGCCCTCTCCAAGTATGCAACAGGAAACCGTTTCAACCTGTGCGTGCCATGACTATCTGAAGGTGAAGGCTCAAGTCTGGCAGTGGACAAACCAAAATCACGATGTACATCTTACATCTGAGTCATAGTCCAAATGATCGTCATCAAATGATGTATATAGGTCATGTGAATCATAATCCACGGCTATCAGTTGGATAGGTGAATAGGAATCAAAATATATCAACATAGACTATCATCATCCAAATCCTAGTGAATCATCAAATGATATGCGAAACAGAATCCTATGACTCCAATGCGCCAAATTGTCTGGTAGAAGTTCTCCCAGCAAGCAGTAAACCATCCATGTGGAAGTTTCATGTGTAGCCCAATGGATTTAGTCAGCGCTCCAAAAATTCTGCCAAGAAGATCCAGAAGGTCGTTGAGGGGTCTTCTACCTATTCTATACACACACACACACCCAAACATGAAACATGAAAGCACCTTGGCGAATTGGGATGTTTTAAGATGCCTATAGAAGAAAAAACCTCTCCAAAGAGAATGGGAAGCCCAACCTCGGCTCTCTGCAACATGTGTGGTACATCTCAACAAGGGTCGGTCAAGGGTTAAATAAGAACTGTTACCATCTTCTATAGTCTATCGTTGTTTGAGGTTCTTGGATGGATCTCCATTCACAGAAACATACACACATCACCAAAAAATAACGCTCATTTGGAAGCTTTGTCCATCCGAGAGGCACGCAAACCCGTCCGACTACGCAGCCGAGAAAAGCGCAGCGCTCCGAACCAGCCGAGATGCAGATCGTTGCCGTACATGCGCAACCTGCACGGCGGAGCAGTTCTTTGGCGCGGTGGAAGAAGCTGGAATTGAAGGTGCATGTTTTCTCTTACCCAGACACTCCATGTATGTATGCCTACATTGGGGTGGTTTGAGGGGTCAATGTAGGCATATATGTCCTTTTGACCCCGCGTGCCCAACGTTCGACTTTCGGGCGCACCGACCGCTACCGTGCTCGGACGCTTCGCTTCGCTCGGAGCTCGGCGGCGTCGCTGGTGGCGCAGGCCACGAGTCACGACCGGAGTTCCAGAAATGACATGAGATGTCGTGCCAACCAGCAGTCTCCAAGTGAGTGGATGTGACAGGGGCACCCCTAACCTCCATGGATAGCACCCCGACATGTGACTCCTGGAAGAGAGATTTTTGGTGACCTGAAAAACGACACGACTGGGGTACCTCAGGGAAGAGATGAATTAGGGAAGAGACGAATTCGGGTTCTTCCAACCTCTGTTGGTGCGTTTATATAGGCTCTGTATGGTAGTGGAGGAAGGTGCTGAAAAGTGAGACGCATGTTTTCCTGCATGTGATTCAAGTCACATCCAATCGCATCGCTGGCTACGCACAAGATTTGACAATGTGAAGCTTCACTTGTTGCTGGTGTGACACCACACCTTTTCCACATGATTTGAAACTGGATGACTTCATGCACGTGGCTGCCAAGCTGCGTATTCACACCCATGGATTTCAGCAAATCCAAATCTCCACGGCCCCAACTGTCCCACATGGCGCCCGTGATGTCCTTAGCGGTCGGCGTTTTTTCTCTCCTCGTGGGTCATGGCACCCAGATCCCCAAACCAGGCTAGGTGGAGCTTCTGAGTATATTGAATCCATTCTGTTCATTCTCTCTGGTCAACTGCAGGTCACCCAGATATGAGACCCACGCCCATCTTCCACCTTCGCAACAGGTGCAGTGGGCACCTCCCGCGGGGTGGGGGGGCAACGGTTCCCTCTCTTCGGTGGTCTTCCGCCGGGCTTCAGGGATCGCCCCGCTCCCCGAGCCGGTCGTGGGGTCTTCCGCTGTCATCTCCACCAGGTCATGGGCATCTCCTTCCCGACCCAAAAAAGCAAGGCCCTTCCCAAACATCACGGTAGTCTGCGTCATTGTCACCTACAGCAATTGAATTCATTGCAGTAGCTGATAGTAGCTGGCTTCCAGTGCCTTTCCGACCAATCAGCTGATCTGGCTGGTCCATGGCTTCAACTCCCTAAGATCCATCTTGACCACTCCTCCCACCCTTAGCCCTGCTCGCATCTGCTCGCCCTCCCACCCGGCACGTGCGAGTCTTGCCCGACCCAAGAGTCTGTCATGAAATCGTCATCGGTCAACAGAACGCCCGTGTTCTTCAGCGGAGACCTCGGCTTGGCCGGTCGTGTCGGCGGTCGGCTGGACGCGATGTCCTCCCAAATGAAGATCGAGTTGATTCAGACAAGTGCTCGTAATAACCAGCATGCCAGAGCTGTGCTAATCTGATATGGTGATATGGTTGATAGTGGCACCTAAATAGATAGAAACAGTGTCCAACACATTTGGGTGTCTATAGTCTATACATGCACGCCTTAGACAATGTGGTTCGGATGCTTTGGGTTTGGTGGTGCTTCCATTGGGTGTTCCAGCTTGAAACCACCTGTCCATCAGACTGCTGATGCCAACGGCCAATCCATCTCGGCTTCATCTCTTCCCAGAATGGCTTCAAGGAAAATCTACAGGAAAACCCGTAGTTTTTGGGTGTGGCATGTCCATGGGGTCCTGTGGGTGTTCCCATTCAACCATCTTCAACCCACTCAAGTTCGCGAAGTACTTGGCGTCTGTGTCACGTCCAGTGGCGCTCCATAGGAGACGCCCTTCATGGGATACTGGTGCTGAGACCGGTAGGTGGGCACCAAGTACTGCTGATACCTGGCCAAGGCGTCGGGTCGCGACGGGCAGCTGGGACGGGCATCTCTCTGGCCCGGCCCTCCCGGGGATCTTATCTCTACCTGGCCAGCAGATTTGCCAGACTTCCAAGACCAGTCAAAAAAATGGGAACGACCTGGTTTTTTGTAATGTAAAATCCTTAGTTGATTCGGGATATTCAGCCTATGAAATTAATGGTGGTTGGAAGTCTGGGGGATTGACCTGGAAGCCCGGGAGTAGTCTTCCCGGTGAATGCCTCCCGGGTCCATGTGCGTCTTCACTGGGACATGTTATCCTCGCTGGGGTTAAGCTTAGGTTTAGGGCGATAGACCTACGTGGAACTTGAGGCAGGCTCACACAAGAAAAAGGCAACCCTGAATGAAAGTATTTTCACTGGTGAGCCCAAGGCTTCAGCGATGACCGGACCATGCCACAAGAAGACGAGCTCATGGCAATCCATGGCAATGAGAGCTTGCTGCAAACGTTCTGCAAAACACCACATGTTTTCAGGCCACGACCCAACAAGCAAGGGAGCCAGGGGAACTTCCCATCGCTCTGAGTTCCGGCTCATGTGGCTGATCCTTTGAGCACCCTTCGCTTCCGGGCCAGAACGCTGCCTGAGCGCTGCCTGAGGCAGCGCAGGCAGCGCAGACAGCTCAAGGTGTGGCGTCTCTTCCACTTCTTGACCACCCCACCGGCCCCGCGGGCCTCACCATGCAGGGCTGTGGGCACAGTGTGGCATTCATGAGGTGCCTCGCAACAGCACCCGGGCGCAGCTAACAGCAGATCAGGTCTTTGGGGGGGTCCCTGCAGGGGGAGGCCGCCTCCATCTCCAGGTAAGATGGAGGCACCCTGCATGCTGTATCCTGCATCATCCTGCAAGTGATGCAAACGTTGAAACCCCCAGCTGTGGGCTAGTAGGGGTGGTCAATCCCAAACGACTCAACTTCACCTTCATAGTCAAGGGCTCGGAATTCGAACTCCTTCCTTTCTGGAGCTCCGTTCGAACTCCCCATTCTTCCTGCGCCCCTGAGAAATAAATGGATGCTTCCCCAAACACCCACGTCCTATGCAACGGATCTCAATTGCCATATTGGAACAACCATTTGGCTGTTTGGGTTTCCAGGAAAGTACTTATACACGCTCTACTACACTCCCCAAAAACAAGATACCACCCCAGCTGGTATAGCAACGCCTCACCTTCTGCACCGTCGAACATGTTTGGGGCAAACCGGGCAAGCCTTTCTGTTGTTGGCAAGTTGGGAGTCCACAGCCAACCAAGAAACGACACTCCCAACTTGTTGAACTGCGAGGTCCGTGGATATGCAGGTCACAGGTACACTCACCGAAACAATAATGGAAGGGGACAATGTCCACTTAAATGATCATTGTCCTCTACAAGCCAGGTGGTTAGACCTCTTCCTTGATTGATATTCTCATCTCAGGGAGATGTTGGGATTTCTAGCTGAGGTGCTGATGAGCTTGGAACTCTTCAAAACTGGACGCGCCAGCTTGCAGCTCTGGCCACCACTCAGGGTGCTCCTGAGGCAGGTCCCGATGGTTTGATGGGAGCACGAGTGAGAAGCCACCCTGGGGAGAGCCTGGGACGGATTCATGTGCAGTATGGAAAGGATGTTCAATTCAAATGGGGGAGTTTATTGATCAAGAGTCTACATGAATGTAGACGGCTGATGCATCCAAACCCATACTAGTGGAAAGGCTTGGCACTCCCAAATAGGAGGGGGAGGGGCGGCCTTCTTCATCGAACCGGTCCCCATCAAGCACCCGACTCATAGTAGACCAGCACCTGACTCAACCAGTTGGTGAGTGATACCACTTGGTGCTGGTATCGGTGGCTCTGGTGTCTGGCCGTTGGACCTTGCAACTGCTTCATCTCACCGAGCAGCGTAGATGCCATCGGACATGGCCTCGGCGCGGAGTGGCCCTCGCACCACTGAGCTCTCGAAGTCTCAAAGGGACTCCGGTCTTGAGCGGTTGTTTGAAAAGGTGGAAGGAGTGGCCTGAAAACGCCACTAGCTGCTTGGGTATGTCCCGTTCCCTGGGCCCCCCACGTGGATGATGGGGAATGGTTTCCTGGCCGGCATCTCTAAAGTGATGTTCCTAGTTTACAGACCCCAAACATCCCCAGACCATCAATGTATGACATATTTACCTACATTGGGGTGGTGCCAGGGGGTCTTTCTGGGGCGGCATATATTCCAGTCCCATTGATGGTCTGGGCCACCACAACAATCTGGTTTTGCAGTGCTGGGAACCCCTTGGACGGATCCAAAATGGTCGGATCGAAATTCGGAGGCCGATGTGTGAGAAACATATGCCCTACTACAGAACTCCTTTGAGAAATTGAGACATAAATCTGAAACACACACCTATAGTCGCACCCAACACCCCCTCTCCCCCCCAAAAATTGCGGATGAAACGGTCAAAAGCCACGATCCAAACGTCCCACCCCCAACCATGATCGATCCTTCCGCTGCTCGCTGGGAGCTCCGATCCCAGTTGACGGCGATGAAGCACTCGTCTCCACGCTTAGCGGTGGCACACTCCCCGGCCTTGGGCCCAAACAGAACACCCTCGCACCCAAAAACGCGTAGTGGTGGTGGTGGTGGTGGTGGCGGTGGCGGAAGGACAGACTTTTGTGTAGCAATAAAAACTCGTCCTAGATCTGGACTGGACACCCATTTTGAACGCCATGGAAGCAATATGGTGGAAAGAGGCCGCCCACGTGTGCAAGAAGAACTGTAGCAGGTGGCATGCGGATCCACCCCACGTTTCACTCTGAACAGAGATGGTTTACGAATCTTGACGTCTGAGACATGATCCAGGTGTCTACCTTGTCTTGCTTGATCCAGTCATCATCGAGATGAAGGATGCCGTCCACGGTGCCTTTCCAGGCATCATCCGTTTCTCCTGCCGACTCGACGAGTCGCGGCCCCGGTGGCGGTCACAGCCGAGAGCGTCGTCTGGAAGCCCGAGCACGGAGAAGTGCAACGCAGGAAACCATGCAACGAGCAACTCTGAAACAACCCATGGCTGCCATTCGCCCGACCATGGTGCACAAACATCAAATCTGGAACGTGCGCCAGCGGTTCTCATGTCCAGGATTCTCTCAAAGGATGCACTTTATAGAGTAGAACATGCCACAAACGCTCCTGTTGCATCCTCTGCCGTCACATCCTCCTCCTCCGCCGCCGTCTCCTGTCACTGGTCCATGGTGCAGCTTCTGAGGGTTCAACACCAACAAGTGTCTATTCGGCGCTCCAATTCTGAGCTACAGCCCTACAGGTCAATGACCAGTTCATCATACAGAAACAATACTCAAGGAATCTCAAGAAGGTCAAAGGCCAGGTTTTGCGGGGGTTTTGGAGGGTACAGTCACTAATTAGTTCTGCATCTCGCAAATGTTCAAACCACTTGAGAGAGGAGGGGGTGAACGAAAGGTAGCAGGCAATCACAAGCAACCCTGGTAAAAGTCCATGACGGCGTGAACCGGCGCAGGGGGGATTTGATCCAGGGAGGGAGGGGCCCCCCCCCCGACGAACAACAGAATCAACTCTTACAGGACCAAATTCAATGCACAATCCCAACTCCTGATTGTAATACATTTTTGCTAAAGCAAGGAGAACTCAGGTAGCTCAAGCTACCTTTCGTGATTTCAAACCTCTCCAAGCTCGCCTCTGCAGTGGTGCTGGACGTAGTTGTTACCTACCAGGCTCGACACCGTCACTCCTATGGCCTGGTCCCATCGCAAGGCTCCCTGGGTTTTCCTCACCAAACTCTGGAAACAGGCGGTGTTCCAATCAATCATGATGGCCCTAGCACAGGGTTGGGGCACTCCCTGTAGCTCCTTGGTTCCCTGGGGCAGCTGGGGAAGAACTGGATACCCTAGCTCCTTAGCTCCCTCAGCACCAGCGTGACACTTATGCCCTGCATGGGCCGATATTCCATGCTTCTCTACCCAATCGCCGTCTGGAGTTTCCTTATGCTCACCAGATGTGCCGTTCTCCTCAGGAACACCTACAGGAAGTCCATGGATTGGGGATGATTGGAGTGTTATCGACCCAGCCTCATTGGGTTGGTTGCTACAGATGTTCCCTTAAACCATTTTCCATTCACTCAATGCATGGCATATTCACATACATTGGGGTGGTTGAAGAGGGGTCAATGTTGGCATATGTACCATACGTGGAGAGGTCTGGGAATGAACTTCGGTCCATTCTGCGATTCTGCGAGCCCGACCTCCGCCTCTGTCGTCGTGGTGGCAGGCGCCGCAGGCGCCTGTCAAGGCGCTGGGCATGGTTGGACCCTGTTCGGTGCCCTACAGCCATCCTGGCAATGAAAGTGACACGTTGGAAAAAATGATTGGCATTGGGTTGCTGAGGGACATCCAGGCTCTGATCGAACTAATCTTTCTTTTGCCTCAAGCATTGAAGCCATCCAACAAGGCTCCTGTGATGAACCCGAACATCTGTGCAATATCTTTTTGGCCTCAAGCATTGAAGCCATCAATGCTCCTGTGAAATGTCCCCCCCCGAAACTGCTTGGACCTGACCTCCCTACTAATGAGCTGCGTCTTCCATGGCCACGTGGCCACACGACCAGAGTCGACGTTCCCACCCTCGCTGTTCTCACACGCTGCTCCGGCCGTCCCCGGCGGTCCGAGCCGCCGCGGCGGCCTCGGAGGCCTCCTCCTTCGCCAGGCACACGGCTTTGAAATCCGAGCCTCGGCTGAGCAGCTCAGCGACCGTCCGAGGCGCTTCGGGCCGTCCGAGGAGCTGCGACCGTCGGACGTCCTACGGGTTTTTTGCGGCACGTGCCGGGGCTCGCATCTGTAGCAGCTGGTTTCATTGGTGGCCCGTTTTGATCCGGGTCATTGGATGATGTTTTGATGTTTTTGGAGGGCGGCTTTTCTGAAGGAGCAACTCGTAGTTTGGCCCAAGCTGGGTGCGATTTCCTCCCGCGCGAAGCTTTATTGCACCAGATTTACTGCAGGTTCCTGAAATCAGAACTGCTGCAGCTGAGCCTCCAGGGCAAATGAACGAGTACAACAACTATCAACAACTCCTGCGGATGACTAAGGTCTGGGCAGCAATTTCCAAACTTCGCACACTTGGCAGTGCACCTCATGGCCCAATGGCCGGACTCCCAGACGGAACGGAACGATGCCGGCCAAAACGGTGGACGCCGAGAGAGTCCTGCCGTTCACTGGGCACTGAATCCTCGGGATCACTGTAAGGCTCCAGGACACCACATGTAGACTCTTGACTCTTGATGATGTCAAACTCCCAGGCCTGTTTGGAGGTGGTTCAATGCAAGATGGTGATTTTTCTCAAGAGTCTACATGTCATCACCCGTCTCTTTACTTGGATTTGCTGTCCAGGAAGCCAGGGAGAAAATAAAACATCTTCTCCGTGCCACAAGATTCACCCGGTTCGGGACATAAGAAATTATTCGAACACCGCAAAACCAAGTGTACTAGGATGCTGTGGCCCTCCTCAATCCAACGGTGCCATTTTCAGATGTATGCTGCTATCCAGATGCATGGTCTGGTGATGTCTGGTCCAAACAGAAGCGATCCGGGATGTTGTCAGGTGCAAGTTGCCTGGCTCTCAGGGTAAGGGGACTAACCCCAAACGGCTGGTATACAGTTCAGCTTAACACCATGAATTGCAGAAGATGGCATGAGCTCCACAGCATACTGCAGTGTCTTGTGTAAACTTCTGCACAACACTTCAGATCTATGTCACTGCAACCTGGCTCTTCACACCCTAAACCATTTCTACTCACCTGATGAACATCCACCCCAGTCAGAACAGCAAAGCCTCCCCTCCCTTTGCAGAACTTTCGTTGAGCCACTGGCAGGGATGGTTCGCCACGTACTTCTCGCTGCAGCCGAAGCTGGCGCAGCTGGGCGCCGCGTCTTCCTCCGGGACCGTGGGGGAATCCACGTCGCTCCCCAGCGCCGCATCCTCCTTCTTGACGCAAGTGGCTTGATAGTCCGGGCCTGGCAATGAACACAAAATTAAGGGGAAAAAAGAAACTCTAAAAACGTGAACGTGTTTGAGGTTTTGGCTCAAAACCTGTTATAAAAATACATAACAACTTAACGCTGGGGGTGGCTCAATTGATTCGCGAGCAGGAACAGGGTCCACGTCCCCAATCCCCAAAGCTTTAAAGGTTCCAAAAATCTTTCGCGGGGCTGAAACTGCGGCGCCTACCCCAAAACATTTTGCAGATTGGAGTCAAGGTGGGAGGGGCTTGAGCTTGTCCGGCATTAGTTAGGTTGGCACAACAAGCCGCCAGCTAGCAGCGGCTGAAGCCGTGGATGCCTTGCGTTTCAAAAAAGACTTCAACTCTGTTATAAACATGTATAAATAAACGGTTGATAAACGCTTTTCTGCAAGTCCGGCGCAGGCTGTCAAACACTCATGTATCTTTACAGCGTGGTGTGTGATTGTCATTCGACGTCGATTTGGAGCTGAGGCTCCCGGCAACAGTTCCCAAACTTCTTGCACTGTGGGGTGCACTGGCATGGATGGTTTCGAACCTGAGATCGGTGGGTGGCACCTTCATGGGCTGGGACAGCACATGTGGACTCAGGGAAACCGTGCAATTGGGAGGCAGGATTCCCGAGGGCAATTCATGAAACCTGAGACTTCCAATTCAACTGTGCTTAGATCTTGGTGAAGGGTGAACTTCACATAGAATTCTCATCATCAAAAGGAGCTCGGAAGTCTTGCCCTGCTTTTCCAGGGCGCTTTGCAAAGCTTTGCTGCCTTTTTTCTTTGAGTTGCTTCACCTTATGCAATATAGAACATAACTTGTAGAACATACTATAGAACATCTAAGGTTCGAAACCTTCCACACTTCGCTGAACCCTGTCCGCTTCGGCGGGTCGCGAACT